GGCCACGTGCGGTCGGCAGCCGATGACGAAATCATCGTTTGCACCTATGCAGGTGAACTGATAGCCCGTTAGATCAATAAATTGTACTCTCACCGAAGCATCTGCATATTTATACTTGACGGACACTGATCACTGCTGTAAACTAACGTTCAAGCTACTCATACTCGCCAGCCATTTCCTACTGAAGACCCTCTGACTAACTCAGCGCTCCTCGAATGGTAAAGGCTAAGATGACCAATCGATGACGTCACAGGAATCATTAAGGAATCACACTATTAGAGTGATAGTGTGATAGTGAGTTAATGACAATGGCAAAATCTGATGATCAGATGTGAAACGAGCGACCATATCTCGTAGAACCGTCCTAAAAATCATCTTTCAAACGCAGTCAGCGTATATTGAACGATTTGCTACTGTTTCTGCTTGGACAAATTACTTGCATACATTATGCAAAAAAAGAATCACCTCATTAAATAAAGTGCATAAGAATAAGCCATTTACTCCAGCCTAAGAACTTCGCTTGTGGGTGTAGAAGCACGGCAAGCGTTTTGCAGTGGACAAGCTTGTAACCTAATGGAACAACCGGGAGACTGACCCTGACCTGTTTTATGACAGAAGTATTACCTTCTACGATGCAGTATCCGATGCCTTACGGCCACAGTGTTGAAAAGCTGTGAATATGGCGGAGATCACAAACCAGGGACGTTCCTTTTATGCAAACGGCTCAAGGTGATGATTTAAAAAATCGCAAGGTCGCTAAACTTACTTCAAATGCAAATCTTTGCCTCGTTCTTTCAGTTATTGCCCTCGTTAGTGAGTGTTTCACGGATTCCCTTCAATTCAATTTACTTTAGTCCTCCTGAAGGACACGGAAAGTTGCTACTCACCCATAAATATGAATGAAACAATTGCCCATATCACGAATGTAGACCATAAGGGGCCTCGATTATCAAAGCCTCATCTTATTGAGTATCCACATGGCAAAGTCTATGCAAAGGTTGCGCGGGATTGTTAGGATAATAGTTAATAAGTATAATGTTAATAAGTATTGTTTGCTAGCGGTTGCAATAGCGCCAACCAATATTCTGTGGCATTCGATGCCATGATTGGGAAATTTCCGGCTTTCCACAACGCGAACGTGAAAGTTCGAGCTATAAACAAAAATAAATACTTTGTTTCTTACTCATTCTTGTTCATTTATTTACTCATTTGCTTGTTTATCTACTTGCCTTCTTACAATTTCGCTTACTGTCGTACCTACTTCATTTACCTGACTTCCTAACTTCAACTTACCAAATTTAACGTGACTTACCTACTTTACCGTGCAGTTAAGTATCTAGGTTACAAACAACAGTACTGCAAGCCCCCTCAGTTGCTTCTTTTGAAAATCTTACAGCAAAGAATTTCTATCAGACCAAAACAACATGATGCATGATGCAGAACAACCTGCTTGTTTTCATTTGTCAATGCAGTAAGCTATTTCCCGCGCAGTACGCTTTATGAGATTGTTGTTTTGAAACATTAATCGTGCAGAAATTTTTCAGCCGCTCTTTCAACGAGAACATTTAAGGTCGAATTTTTGGACTGCTTCTTTCCGCAATCCTTGGTTCACCAGCCCTTGGACCAACGTCCATTGCCTGCAAGGTGGAACGGACTTCTCAGGTGGAAGCTTTGAAGTTCGTCTCTCGCTCGATGTCTACTCATCATTGCGATTGTTGTATGTTGGTTGATTTTTTTACAGAAAGGAGATCGAGGAATTACAGTTCAAGGTCAAAACGCAGAGGGAGAAATACGTGAAGAGCATGAAGGAGCGGAACGGTGTTTCGAGTGTTCCGTTGTTTCCCATTCACGACCGCTTTTTATTGAACAAGTCCGACGCCACCCACCAACTCATCATAGAACTTCCGGTACCCATCGAGTGCATCGTGCTACAGGTTAGACCTAAGGAAAATTTGAGGCAGGATTTAATGAAGAAACTGAATCCGTTGGACTGGTCTTGAAAAACTGTATCTTCTTTGAAAGAATCGGCAAAAAACGACTCTCAAAGTATCTGTAGTGCAAAGTACAAGTAACGAAACATCAATAACGATAGGCAAGGAATCGATATGACGAATAAACGCTATGATGTGCACATGTGTACTGTAGATGCTCTGTGGTTTTGCATGCTTGTTTTGCCGCCTAGCCATATCAAGGCAAAAAGGCAGTTCCATAATATCGTAATCGGTACTTTCTCGGAACTGAAAGCTCCTTCAGAGAAAGGCCCATAACATTAGAGTAATCTGAGTAAGATCTACTTTTACTATATAGTATAGTAAATTATGTAATTTTCAGCATAGTTTATGTTCGCTTTCAGAAAAGTCATTATTACGGAGCCAAAGGATAGTGGAAAAACGGGTGTTCAATGTGAAGGTTAAGAAAGTATAAAACATCGGCAGAGTTTTCCTGTTAGGCCTCAGTAGCGAATAATGGTCAAGCTGCAATAAGACCTTAAACTCTGAATGTACGAGCAACCTCTGTTTCCATAAAATAGAACTCAGAGTAGGTTTATCAGCTGAAGTGACCCTTACATGCCATGACAAGTACCGAGCCCCTCCAGTGCCAAAACAACAAGAATTAATATGAATAAAACAGCATGGCACTGTGCGACGAAGTGAGTAAGAAAGTATATTGTTCGTTTAGCACGGAGCTGTTTTACTTCACCCACTGAACCAGTGATTTGTTGTTCACCGATCTGGGACTGTGAATTCAACGTTCACCTTACCAACCGCTGTGAAAAGCAGCCGGATTTGTGTTCCGATGGTGAGGTAGAAATCATTAGCTGTGTGGCCATATTCTCTTCAGTAGCTGAGTGTGCCAATTTAACCAAAAGCTGGGTTGAACATGATGAGCGATCTAGAGGGTCAAAGAAGACATATGGCACCTCGAGAGAAGACATACGGCACCTATGAGCGCGTTGTTGCTGTGGCATCGGCCCAGTGTTTAACTGTAGGCAATCGACCGTGCGGAGCGACTGTCACACAGAGGAATAGCAGGTTATGTTTCTGTCCTTACCGGCGCATAACGCCTGACCAAGTCGGTTTAAAAAGTTGTCGATAATCTTATTTTACAATTAGCAGCTTCTAGCGTCATCATCGGTCTCATTTGTTACAGAGCGAGGTTGCGATCGATTTATTGGATGTCAAGGAAAACTCAGCGATTGTCAGCTTCTCTCCATGTGATCCTCAGGTATTTTTGCTTTTTTGCTCGCATCGATTAACACATCGATTAGTTTCGATAAGCATATTGGAGTCTACACTCCTGAGCTGAATCGGTGGGCGTGAGGACATCAGAATAAATCCTCTAACCCTGAGATAAAGATGTTCTGATGACAAGAGTTGACTGAATTCCTTATATTTCCAAGAGAAAGACACAATGACGACAAACAGTCAAACAAACATAAATTCAGCCAATCTAGAAAGCAGGGGAAAATCTTTTTCTTGTACCGTCTGAAGGATTTGTCTTTCATTCGGCATGCTTTTTGTCTAACGTCGTCTAAATGTACCGTTCGGCTCATCTGCAGTTCCTCCTGTGGACTGACGCCATGTTAAAAATTGTCACACTGTTTTACTTTGAGTAATCGTGAACTCCTTTCGATACGTTTGTACTTCATGCCACCTTATTGCAGAATTTGGTCCTAAAAAGCGTAGAAACGTCAGCGCATGCTTACCAATGTCTCGTTAAACAACTGTTTTTGGCCACGGAGAATTTTTCGTGGTCATAGCAACTATGTCGTAGTGCAGTTCGCTCAGAGATGCGATCCCTTGCTTCGGGCGTTGCGGGCTCGTCGTGGTTAAATTGGATAGAAGGTTATTTTGCCAGTTGAAATACCGGGATCAAATCCAACGTGTGGTGTGAAGTTTCCTTATTCGGAAGGAAGTCGTAAACAAAGGCCTAAGCATAAATCTCAAATTGAGCTTAAGCTTAGAAACAGGTCTCAGCTTAATCCTACTTTGAAGGCTAAGCCAAAGAATCAGATTGAGCAAAGGTTTGAGCCGACAACCGTGCCTAAATCTATAGAGAAGCAAGGGTAAGATAATAGTAATATTCTTAAGCTTAAGCTGAAGCCCATCATCAAACCTTTGCCTAAAACTTAAACCAAATTTTAGCGTATGAAATGGCTTATGCCTAAATGTAGCGCAAATCGTATGTTTCGGCCAAAGCTTAATCCAAAGATTTACCTTAAAGCTAACTCTATGTCAAAGTTCAAAACTAACTGTTGCCTGGTGGCACAGTGCGTAAGAGAGTCAGCTTCGAACTCGAACCCCGGAGGTGCGGAATTCGGTTCTAGCGACGGGCAATCCTTGTCCTTTCCACGAATTCCATTCGGCAAAGAATTTACTAATCGTTACTTCTTACCGGTAGAGCCTCGAACTTAAAAACAAGCGGTCCTGATTTCGAACTCCCATCGAAGTAACTCGCCTTCCGTCCTTTCGACGTTGATAAATGTGTGGGAAAGAGACGGAAATATGCTATATGCTTTTCCCATAGCTGCTGGCGATTCTGTTATAAAGGAAAATAATGCACTCCTAGCTGATGACCTGGAAATAGAGATCAGCGCCCACACTACTTCATGAACTTCGTGAAAGCAAGGGTGGTAAAATGGCTCCTTCGTGTAAGTAATCTTATTCTTTTACTAAGAATAAGATTAAGCTTTAACGAATGCCTGTGCATGAGTCTAAGTCAAAGCGTCAACAAAAGCTTTACCCTCCAATAATGCTGAGCCTCAGCTTAAGCCTAAGCCAAAGGGGATGATAACGCATAAGAATAAAATAAAGCCTAAGGCTATGATTGAAAGTAATTTTGTGCCCAAATCTAAATCTGAACATAAGACTCGACCTAATCCTTAGTCTAAACACATGCTTAAGCATTTATCACTACAGCTTTGGTCTAAGCCTATACCTGTGCCAAAATCCACGTATTAGCCCTATCACAAGAACAAATTTTAGCGTAAGTTTAGGCACAATATTAAGCCTAACCGTCAGCACATTCACCGGCTGCAAACACTGGCTTAAGACTAAGTTCCATGTTTATGCCTAAGATGAAGCTAAGTCTAAACTTAAGCCTAATTTAAAGATTGGCATAAGACCTAATTTTACGAAAAAACATAAGAATAATTTTAGGTGTAGCCTCGTCGAAAGCCTAAGAATGAACCTATGCCTAAGCTTAAGCCTGGGATTGAGCTTAAGCTTTTCCATATCCTAGTCCTAGCCTGATTTTAAGCTTACGCCAGAGCTTCAGCATAAGCATAACAATAAGCTTAAGATCTACTTAATGTTAAGTCGAAGTCTAAGATTAAGCAGAATCTGTCATTTGGCTTAGGCCCAAATGCGAACAAAATCCTTAAGCATACGTATAGGCCGAAGCCTAAGCATGAGTCCAAGACTAAGTCTAAACGTCAGCATAGGTTTGAGCGAAAGCTTTAGACTGAGTGTAAACCTTAGACTGTTTGGTCTAAGCCTGATTCTGAGTGTAAACGTAAGCCTCGGCCAAACCTATACCTAAGCTTAATTTTGAGCATAAACTGAAGACCAGCTTAAAGTTAAATATGAACCCAACCCTGTGCCCAAAGTGTGTAGAACCCTAGCAAAAAAATTATGAAATCAGGTACTTAATTTATATTCAAGTATGTACGATGATTCTAGTATTCAAACGCGCTGCTGGCCACGTTCAGATGTCAAGCAGAAACCATCTCATTCGAAACCAAGATTCGAACGATTGAAGGCCAGTACGGAACACTGCAGGCGTATGTCTTTCCACGACTGATTCCAGCCGTGTGTCAAGTCCGACGTTACGCTATCAAGCCCCTGTCACTGCATCATCGAACTTATTCCTACGATGAAAGCCGGCCGCAGAACGTCATGAAAATAACTGGCTCCTTTAGCTTGTTGGAAGCTCATGCATTGATCGATGTCTGTTTACCAGAGATACCCGAGAAGCCCCCAAACACCCAGACTCTACAGTACTATTTCACATCGTCGTTTGTCGGCAGCCAGTTGGAGTGCACATATTCGTAAGCTTTAAAGTCATATGCTCATCACTGTCGCTTAACGTTCATGGACATAATCAGTATGCAGAACATTTAATCCAATATTTTATACTAAATTAATAATATCTTCACTACACTTTCGCTGGTAATTTTGCTGTTTTCCTCGATAAGACTAATTTCACTGACTATAAGCCAGTGAAATTTGATTTGGTTGAAGCGGCATATAGGATTTGCCTGTTTATATTTGGCTTTA